CATGCAGAGGGAAGGGTGAGGATGTGCAGTTAGGTCATGCAGAGGTAAGGGTGAGGATGTGCAGCCAGGGCATGCAATTAGGTCATGCAGAGGGAAGGGTGAGGATGTGCAGTTAGGTCATGCAGAGGTAAGGGTGAGGATGTGCAGTTAGCATGCAGAGGTGATTCTAGTGACTCTTAGGGCCCTGGGGCCCCCAGCATGGTAACATTACTGTGAAGTGTAAATTAATAATATCAACAAAGAGAATTTAATAAACACAAAAACTTTATTTTCACTTTTGTGAAAAACAGAATACACAAACAAAGCAGATTTGTCGTTTCAATGTGCTATGCAATCGGCCGCCCTTGGCTGTCCTGTCGATGCGCCTCTGAGGACTCGGATATCCTGGCAGATTCACAGGGGCCTTTGATTAAGTAAAATAAAAATTGGATGGGGGGTGGGGGTCAATTTCAAGGTACCCCACCCCCCGCAACCTGCAGAAATTCAGTGCCTTTTCTTAGTTAAGTTTAGCTTCTGAAGGAAAAGGCTAGAGTATAATGCAGGAAAAATACAGCGACAGGCGGAAATATAGGCCTATAACTACAGCCAGCAGGACTACGGGAGACTCTTAGGGGGTCAGGGGTTCGAAAGTTTTAGAGGGACACTCAGTACCTTTAAAGTTCATGCGCTAGTGTCTAGTTCACATTAAATAGTTCCGGGAAAATGGGCTCAGACACCCCCGTTATTATATAACAGTACAGAACAAAACTGATGGCATTAATTCGGTTCTCTCAGTCTTTGTTTCAGTCCTGCCGGACTCATATAAGCGCCGTTACTATTAAATGAGCACCATCTATCGTGCCGTATGGCCGGTGTTCTGTCGAAATGAGCTACTTTGTCGAGTTATCCTACCGTAGTGCTAATCGATAGCCCTAACCATAACTCTTACCCTAACCCTAAAATATTACAGTTACACTGACTGCTTGTCTACGGAACGAGGCTCCTTTAGGGTCGGGCACAGGTTTGTCACTCTGTGCTGGCTGCCCGCTTAATCGGTGACTGAGAGAGAGAGAGAGAGAGAGAGAGAGATACTGTCACCAATGACGGCTCTGCCAGGCCATGATTGAAGCGGCTCCATTAACGTCTGCGTATCTGGCAGCGGTCGCTCCGGAGCACACAGGCTGTCACACTGGCACGGAAGCGGCTCAGAGGGAAGCGGCGGCGCGGCCAAAGCCCAGGACAGACCTGCTGGGTGGGTAAATGCTGACCCAGTCGGCAGCCTGGACACGGCCTGGTTCCTGCGCTCTCCCGCTCCTGTTTGCGCTGGGATCTGTCCATCCCAGTCAGTGACCAGTCCAAGCCTCGGCAAACAGTGACAATTTTTATGCTTTATAAATTCCGGTTCCTTTGTAGTAAAGAAAAAGAAATGACAGTTGAACCCAGCAGTGCGGCATCAAGCTTATTATGAATTCATCATCAAAGATCCAAAGTAGAAACGCAGAAAGATATTTGTGTAACTATTCTCGTTTCGAACGCTCACAATATTTGGCCACCAGAGGGCGCTATTTACCCATGTAAAACGCCTGGATTACCCGAAACTATCGGAAACCATTGACGCCATGTTTATATATTGTGTCGTGGGAGCAGGTCGTGGTCCTAAAATAAATTACTTTAATCTATAAATCGCCTTTCGAAAATCACACTTAAAAAATATTATTCCTCTTTGGCTTGCTTTCGTTTAATTTTACCTATATGGCTTCTTGTGATATATTTTCATTGAAGTACAGTATAATACACATGCTTAATAATATATAAGACTATTTACCCAGTAAGACTTTTCATATGCTATTATAGTGTTAATAATTTAAATAATACAAAATGTTTCAATTGTTGTTTGAGGTCCTCAGAACAGTAAAATGTAAGATTCTATGAATATGTTTAAGCTGCATAATTTTAAAGACATTAATGATCCGATGGTAAGCGCTATAAATAAAAAAAAAACAATGGAAACGCCATTAAAACAGAAGAATTCTTTTACAAAACAAACAAAACATTGTGCGCGAACCGTTATTAGAAAGTTAAGCTGCTGCTGTAGGAACTTCTCCAAAAGGACAATTAGAAAATCTCCCGGTACTGTTTACATTTACCTTCTGTAATTGTGCAGTCGCTTAATCACGTGAAAATAATGTACATACTACGAGCGCAGTTAGAGAGGAATGGACAAGTTTTCACCTGGGGGGTCATTTTAGGGGGGATAAGTATATACCCAGAGACGGCCCGAATGGATACTTCGGTGTTGTATTTAAATACCGCCATTGGATGACCGCATTATCAAATCGACTATAATTGTTAGAAATACAGTGCGATTCATAACCAGACATAACAAACTCAGTAACAACTCGTCCTCAAATGAGACTAGATTATCCTGTTAATGGCATTTCCATAACATTTACTGCGCTAGATTGTTCTCAGGTGAAAAACGCACTAATGAAAATGACACTTGAATCATAAAATTTTCCAGTTTGGTGCAGCTATTATGTCGTGCAAAAGTACAATTATGCATATTACGGGAAAATAAGGTAATTTTGTTACCGTAACGAAAATGGCAATGGTGTTTTCCCGACTCCTTAGTGCCCTCTCATGGCGATAGTGATGTTTTGAATGGCGGTAATGAATATGACAGGACATTTTTAACTAAACCGTTAACCTCACCATTTACAGACAGGAGCAACTTAGCTTGACCAGCTGCTTATGGCGTGTAGATACGTGGCTTTACATCTCTGCCGGCATACTGATCTTCACCTTCGTGGTCATGGGAATTTCATGTTTCATTGTGCAAAGATGTCAGGGACAGAATCTTGTTTTTTTTTCTCCTTCAGAAAAAAAAAAACATTTAGCTACAGGATCCTGCAAAACCTTACTGGGACATGGAAGTTCTGGAGGAGGGGGACCAGTGCAATGTGGGACAGAGGAGGAGGAGTGAAGTGAGGAGGATGAGGAGGAGCAGTATTTAGGAGCAGAGTTAAAGAGCAGGATGGTGGTGGAAGCAGAGGGGGACAGAGGCAGCAGGAGAGTGGCCACACGGTAGGTACTTTGGCTGTGGCTTCCCTCGTTAGCTCCGCCTCCTGGGACAAGTTTGCATAGCTCTGTGTTTGCTTACATGCTGGCTGGGGGGAGCCGGGCCGCGTCCTAAGGCAGCTTCCAGTGCCATTGAATAGCTCTCTCTTTCTCCTTCTCTCTCTCTCTCCCTCTCTCTCTCTCTCTCCCTCTCTATCCCTCTCTCTCCCTCTCTCTATCTCTCTCTCTCTCTCTGTCCCTGTGTTCAACAGGATGCTGGCAGTTCTTTTATGGCTGAGCAGCTGAGTTCTGTTTCCTGACTACTTTTTTTAGTTGTAAGGGAGAGGGAGAAGTGAGTTAGATGACTGTGTATGTGAGAGTGGAATAGAGGGGGAGAGAGAGAGAGAGAGGGGGAGAGGTTGAGGCAGAGGAATGCTGTGATGTCATGGGCTATGTCATACACAAAGGCATGAGGATATACATCCACACTTCCACTCCAGGGCTGGCTGTACACTTACTCTGTGGACCATCTACAGTCCGCTGTGAGTATAACACACTTTCTGCAGTCCTCTCTCTCTCTCTCTGTTCTGCTGCCTCTGACTCTCGCACACTTTCCCAAGGTAGGGGATCAGTCACATTAACCGGGACGCGCGGCGGCATGGGGGGGGGGGGGGGGGGGGGGGGGGGGGGCGGCGGTAGGTCGCGCTCCCCCTCCGTCGTGCTCCTGTCGCCGTCTTGCCATTAGCGCCAATGGAGCCACAGCGAAACGTCTGCCCTGGAAACTGGGACGAGACGCTGGCGCCCCCACGGAGGAGGGGGGGGACAGCGGCTCCATATTTAATGCGGCTAAAGAGAACAGTGTTTACTTTTGAAACTGGAGAGACTCTCTTGTGGGATGGGGGAGGGAGAGGCAAGATGGGATACGGGAAAGGGTGTGTGTGTCTGTGTGTCTGTGTGTGTCTGTGTCTGTGTGTCTATGTGTGTCTGTGTGTGTCTGTGTGTCTGTGTTGGTGAGGTGTGGGTGGGTAGTTTGTAACACTTAAAATATTCCTGCTACTTTGGCTTTCTGTGCCAAGGCCTAAACCACAAAGCTTCTCAAAACAGCGTCACAATCCCCGTCTATCCGTTTGGCCCGGCGAGACTCTTGCGGGGTCCGGTGTGGCTTAGGGAGAGGAGGAAAGTGAGGTATCATGAGTACGAGAGGAAAAGTGAAGAAGGTTGTAGATGCTGAAATGGGCGTCTGATGTTTTGTCATTTTCCAGCTGATGGAGGTTCTACGATAAGCAGCACGATCGCCAGGTCCACGGGTCATCCTAAGCAGGCTCTCCGTGGGACGCTTCTGCTGCTTTCCCCCCCTTTCCTTCAGGATCTTCCACCCCCAGTTCGACAGCTCCTCTCTGAAGCAGGATCCCCCCCCCCACCAGGCCTTCACCATGCTGCAGCAGATCTTGAAGGACATGCACATCGACCCGGACATGCTGGAGGCCCTGAATGATGACCAGAAGAAGATCCTCTTCTTCAAGATGCGTGAAGAACAGGTGCGTCGTTGGAAGGAGAGGGAGGAGAACCTGGAGAGGGAAGCCAAGGTGGCCCTGAAGTCCAGGCCAAAGAAAGGTACCACCTGTCACCTGTAGCCTGGTTCTGTCCCCTCTGCCACCCTCAGGCCCATCGGCTGCCCGGTTCTGTCCCCTCTGCCACTCTCGGGCCCATCGGCTGACCGGTTCTGTCCCCTCTGCCACCCTCGGGCCCATCGGCTGCACGGTTCTGTCCCCTCTGCCGCCCTCTGGCCCATCGGCTGTCCGGTTCTGTCCCCTCTGCCGCCCTCTGGCCCATCGGCTGCCTGGTCCTGTCCCCTCTGTC